TAGAAAAAGAACAATTGAATTCAGAGCACAATAACACAATGGACAGATGTGACTTCTTTTCATATGCACATAGCATTGTATTTTGGTAGCTGTTTAAACAGTCCTCCATCGCTTATTTAGATGCCCTAGAATAGCTACCCATCACTTTCTGTAGAAGGGCTTTGCTCTACCATTGGAGGTATTTCAGCATCAGCTTAAACTCTAGATTGCTGTGCATTGGTAAAGGACTTTCACTCCATTCTGAAAATGCAAGTATATTTTGTAAATTACCAGAGGAAGATAAACTGTCATTATTTTCAGCTACTTCTCTTTCATTTTTATGTGTCAGGTATTATTTTCCTGAGGAGACTCACTTTAACTGGGAAAATTGTGATGTATTAGGAAATGCTCCAAATGATGCTAGAAATGTTCAGGATACCTCCCTGGCTCTTTGCAGTGAGATTTTATGAAGTTTTTTTTTTCTTCTTCTAGAGTAGTTTTTCAAGAGAAGAGGAATCCCATACCAAAATCCCATAAAGAAAAATGTAAAAACTTTAATGCCAATATTGTGCTCAAGATAATATAATACTAAGAGAGGCAGGTGCATACATGAGGGAAAGTAATGCACTCATACTAATTTTCTGAAAAGGCTGCTTCAGGAAATTAGCCCATCTAAATATAACTCATATCATCTCAAAGATCTATTTGAAAGAATAAATCCTCTCCTTCTAATGGATGTTCAGCCATGTGAGCTTATCATAAACATTCATCTCTGAGAAATTCCATTATAACCAACACAAATACTCATGAAAAATGAAGAAAGGAAAATGTTATTTCAGTATCCATGTTAAAGTTGTGCTTACAATTTTCAATTTCATTGGAACTGAGTTTTTCCTGGATTCTTTGTAAAAACTTGTAATTGTTATGTTCAGTGTTGGCATAATGTAGATATTATATAATAATGTGCAGATATTCTCCACCTCAAAGATGTTTAAAAGTATAGTGTAAACCAAAAAAAAAAAAAAAATCAAGGGAATTCTGTTTGTTTAAGAAATATGTAGAAATTTAAATTATCTCGTATTCCATTGGATTTGCAGTCCTTTGAGATGAATTGCCCTGTGTAAACATAACTCTGTAGATGTGATGTGGAAATGAGTAGAAATGAAAAGTGAACTGTCTCTTGTCTTACTGGTGAATAATATTGACTGTTTAGTAGAGAAAAGTTAGTTACCTCTTTTAAATATGTATACAGATGTACACAAATATATGTATGTATATGCAGTGACCATCACATCATAGTAATACATAGTGCAATGTTTTGTTATTAGAATTGGACTTTTCATATATTTCTGTGTGTGAGTTAAACTGTGAAAGAATTTATAGTCAGGATATTAAAAAATGTGATACAGTGATTTGCTTTGTTTTTCTTTGCAGGCAGTCATACATATCTATCTGTGATTTCTGTTGTGGAGAGATTTAACAGATTACCTCTTTAAAATTTCTGAAGTTCATAGAACTAGGTGAGCAAGTAAAAAGTCTACTGCACGATGCAAAAAGTGACTCTACTTTTGCAACTGCAAAGGTTGGGACTAAAAAGAGGAGGAAGGGAAAGATGATAGGATCAACACCTTTTCTTGAATAACTGGCCTGTGTGTGCCTGTGGTTTGCAGACGAATTCCTTGGTTTCCAGGGTTCAGGTTGGATGTTGGAGAAAAATTGAGGAGTGGTACTGCGTTGGCACAGGCTGCCCAGGGAGATGATGAAGTCACCATTCCTGGACTGTTCATGTAACATGGAGATATGGTACTTAGGGATATGGTTAGTGGACATGGTGGAGATGGGGTTGAACTTGGGGATCTTAGAGGTTTCGTCCAACCTTCATGGTTCTATGATTCTATCAGAGCTCAGGCGTTGGTTGTTTCATGTTTCTAGTCCCCGTGATTAGCAGCCCCTCTGGAAGAAGGTGAATGCCAGCACCCCCAGGCTGGAAGGCTCTGCTGCTGATCTTGCTTCAGGCACCAGTCTAATGTAATGAAGTATAGCCAGGTAGAGCAGGCACACCTGCTAGCTTGCAGGCTTTCTGTGTATTATTTTGTATGTTTGGGCCAGTGCAAAACAGTTTCTGGAAAAACTCCAATGATTCCTGGACTGGAAGTCCAGATTGTGGATATGCTTGTCATAACAGTGTATGTCATTGTAGAAAGAATATCTTGGTTCTTATGCAACTGATTTATTTATTTTATTAAGTTATCATAAACCTCTCTCTGCTCAGCAAGAAATTGCTTATTTTGTTTTTCTTACATTCAAAATGCCATACAATTCTTTTATTAGATCCATATGAATATCCTTAATTGAAGTACTTCTTTAACATGAAAACTGAATATTAATAGAAACCCCTAGTGTGGAAAAGAATGACCTGATGATCTAAGTGACAGGGCATAAATGTGTTGATTTATGTGGGCAAAGTATCTGGCGAGTAGACCTGTCAATGGAACTGTGACATCTCCTATCACCAAATGTTGACTAAAGAAGGAGAGGTGCAGTGATGCTGAAAAACCATGAGGAAAGATGCAGGATTGGATAACATGATCATGCAGAGGGTTGAAACTATCTTCAAACCAGAGCCATTCTGTGATCATCTCTGCAGTAGGAAAGAATTCAACTGTGTATCAAAGTCTAAAGATTATAGAAGGTGGGATTCTGTTGACTTAACTTTCTGGTTTTCTTTAGCCATAAAGTGAGGTTAGTACAGTAAGAATACAGGCTTTGAGAAGAACATTTGTAAGATGTTGGAAGTAAAAGAATGTAGAAAGTATAAGTGAATGAACGCCAAAGACTTGTATCGGGGATGGGCTCTGTCATTTCTTCCAGTACAGACTTTGGAAGAGAAGTGAAAGAAATAATCAGTTTGGCTTGCTTTTCAGGTATAAGTATTCTGAAATTTTGACCACAAACCAAGAGAACACCAGTGGGTTCCATGAGCAAGCATGTGTGCATAATGCATTGTAAAAATGTAGCTTATTTCAAGTATCTGAAATGCAAAGCTCATTTTCTAGTCAGGCTTGTAAAGTCTCACCAGGAAGATTTTGTAACTTCAAAAATATTTCCAAGAAAAAAAGGTTAAAAAACTGCTGGTCCTTGAAAAAATATTCACATGTGAAATCCTGGATAGAAAAGCTTTGAGGGAAGTTCAAAAAGCTCTAGGCAAATTGGGAAGGAATTCAGAAACTGTTTCCAAATCAATTTGCTCCAGAGTACTTGGTGGCATTTTCATTAGGTTAGCTGTCAATCTAGTAAATGGGCTTCATTCCTGTAGAGAATAGGATACTCTTATTATGAGAGACTTCTTTTAATAACAAAGAATCTTGTTTGCAAAGTCTTCTTGAAAACTTCCTACATAATCAGCAAACTTATAAGCCTTCATAAGTATTGGTGTTTTATTTTAATATTGATTTTTTTTTCCCTTGATTGGTGTAAGAAGTCAATCTCAGCTTTAAAATGTTATTGATTAAACGTGCCTGCATAAAATGTAAGAATGTTCTATGCCATTCTGGCTGTAAGAACAGAACTCAAATCTACTAGCCTGGGCCTGGCAAAACTCCTTCTCATCTTCTGTCCTTTTTTGTCTTTATGGTTCTGTTAACCTTGGACCCATGCAAGAAGTGTCATGGCATTTCAACCTAGATCTCAAAACATACAGATCAATGTTGGCATAGGGTAGCAATATGAAAAGTATTTGGCGATGATGGTTGTGCAGTAGCTGGGATGATATGCTGCCTGTCAAGTAGAAATCATACAACAAATGAAGCTTCTAGGATAAAGCATTACACTCAGATAGTAGTGTTATCGAATGAGAATGGGAAATGTTTTTATTTTGTTTATTAGCAGTAGTATTTGAAAGTAAGACATGGGGAAAATGTTTCCTTGGTGGCAGTCTCCCCTGAATATCCCAGACTCCCCTGGTTTCGTAGTGTGACATGCTGAGAAATCTGATATCCAGGCAGAGACGTTTATAAAGGTTCAAGCTGACTGCTTTTCCTGGCCTCCTGTGTAGATTTACTGCTGTAGGTAGTCAAGAAATCAGGTTAATGCGTGCTGTACATGTACTGTGAATCAATCAATGCACATACACCCATCTTATTCAGTAAGAGGAAATTTAAGTTTGCAGAACTGTGCTATGATTGCAGCCCAAACAGGCAAAGAACTCAGTACAGATGAAAGACCAGGTATGAAATGATAATCCATTATTTCACAAGAAGCAGAGAAATGTGAGTTTGGAAAATACTTTTTTCTCCTTTACCTCCTCTTTCTCCTCCCCCCCCCATCTAAATGTTGATGCCAGAGAAAATTTTATTTAAGTTGTTCCATGTTATTAAGCATTGATCTTTGTTAGTAACATATCAAACAATTTAGCACAAAGTCACTTTTGTGTGGTCAGTTTCAGATTGAAAATGGTGATTATTTATACAGAAGCGATCTTTTCTAAGGGAATGACTTAATGAAAATGCATATTAAAAAAGAATCACAGAATTGCAAGTTTTGGAAGGGACTTCAAGAGATCATTGAGTCCAACACTTCTGCTAAAGCAGGTACCCTACAGCAGGTTGCTCTCGTAGGCATTGAGATGGATCTTCTGGTGGAATATTTCCACAGAAGGAGACTCCATAGCCTCTCTGGGCAGCCTGTTCTGGTGCTCCATCACCCTTACTATAAAGAAGCTTTCCCGTATTTTTGTATGGAACAAGTTTTAGGCCATTGCTCCTTGTTCTGTCACTACGCAGCACCAAGAAGAGCCTGGCCTCATTCATTTGCCTTCCACCTCCCTTTAGATATTCAAAAACATGAACATTAAACACTCCTTTCTGTAAAACTTATGAAAAATGCAGTGCGACTAGTAGTTAGCTGTTTGCAATATCTGATCTTTGTAATTATCCTGATTTTCTAAATTGACATTTATGAAGTTTTGTCTGTGTTAACTGTTGGTTTAATTTTCCTTTTCTTTCTTTGTTTTCAATGTGCAGCAAAATGCCTCAGCAGAGAAAGAGAGTCTGCACATGGCCTCAAGAAAGGAAGAAAACCAGAGTGTGCAGGAGTGCGATACTCGGGATGTAAGTTGAGTTCACCTAGAAATCAGGTTTTAATCTAGATGCTATGAAAACATCAAAACCTTGGGTGATTATCCATGTGATTTACTTAAATGATGATGTAACATTGAAAGTGGGCAATCCCATCCACAGTGGGATAGGATCCACAGTTCTAGCTTGTGAAAATATAGAAGATAGCGTCAAAAATATCAGACAGTCACAGTGGTTCTTGAGTGAACTGCTGAGCACTTTCATCCGCACACAACTATCTCCTGTGGAGATGAGCATGTGGCTTGCTGGTAGCAATCATAGCAATGTGTCACAGTACAAAGAAAAGACTGGGGAACAGATCCAGGTGACAAAGTACCTAACAAATAAGCTAGATAAATTACAATTTACTGGGTGCATTTATTGTTTATTCAGTTATAAACGACTTTTCCTCTGCCACATCCTCTAGAGGGGCAAAGATTAATAGGTTATCTGTAAGTGCGTAATTTGCTGTCACGACTTTCTTTATGTCTAAATAAACATTACATCTTCTTTATGTCTAAGGAAACATTACATCTTGAGATCTTACTAATAAAAGAGAAGAAAGAATAAAATCTAACGTTCTGAAGCTGGAGCTAAGTCCATTATGACTGAAGTTTGGTTACAGCGTGGGAAAGTTATGAAACATTAAATGAAATATCAGCTAATTTAGGTAGAGCTTTGCTGTGAACATTTGTGGAAAGAGATGCTAACTTTTTACTGAAACAAACACATTAATCAGGGAGAAAAAAAGAAGAGAAATTAAACATTGCTCAACTCAAGGCAATGAGTAAATGCTCATTCTTTATCAAAATAGGCAGTGACTGACACTGGAAAAAGAAGTATTTTTCCAGAAATGCAGGGATTTAATCTTTTTGTTTACTTGGACAAGAAAGGTGTTATTTTGCACTGCTGTCAATTGTATGCTTGTCTATCTAGTCAAGAGGACTGAAACTGGTATGAAATTTTTTTGGGAGAGAACAGAGGAAGGCTCTAACTGTAGGCAGAAGTTTTGAGAAGTTGAAGCATTTGTCGTGATTGAAAACAGATTAAGCCTTAACTCTGTTTCCTTCCTCCTTCTAAATGCATTGTAATTCACAGATAAAGAAATAAGATTGTACATCTAAGCTTGATTCATGGGATTTAAGCCTTGTTTCATCTCTCAGTTATTACGGTATTTTAAGACCTATTCTGTTTTCTATGGGACTCACATTTCCATTAAATCATAAATCTTTAAGGTGTGTTAAATCTGTATTTGACAAAACCTCATTTATGGAGAAATGATATTAAAACTAGGAAAAACATTCTATAGGGGAGTATAAATCCACTGTGCCCTGCAGGATAATGGTCCTTATTGGAAAATAAAGGAGGCAAAAGTTTTATTCAGTCTTGCGTTGCTTTTGTGTTGCTATAAATCCATCTTCCAACTGAAAAATGGATATATAATACATAACTTTGCAGTAGTCATAGTTTCAGTCTGTTCACATAAAAAAGGGAAGTTTCACTCCAGTATGCAAAAAAGTCGATGAAATTTCACTGTGCTGAGCTTGTAGTGTCTGTTAAGGAATGGCCTCAAAAGCTGAGTTAAAAAATAGATTATTAGGACTGCCATACCTTCAGTGCAATATTTATCCTTCACAGAAACAAAAAATGCAGTATGATTAAAAGATGCTGCTTCTGTTTTTCAGTGTAATAAACTGGGCAGTGAAGAAGCATGGCCTCGGATACAGGACCAAATGAAAGGGTTTCGTCCTTAAAATGAAAGAGTAGATCTCCAAATATGGCAGTATCTGTAATGTTTTGTAGAAATATGTATTTTCAAAATGTGGCTGAACACAAAGTACTGTATTTGCCTACCAGGAGGGCATTAAATAATTCCTTCCCCAAAGGATTTTCTCTATTTCTGTGCTACAGTCCCATTGAAGACTTAGGTGAAATCCATCTTCTTTCCTAGGATCCAATACTTGAACTTTTGATTTCATGCCAGACAAACTTTAAGTATGAAAACCACATTTTTTTTTCTCATGAACACAAGTCTTAAATTTTAATTAAAGAAACGCAAGCAAGAGTTTCAGAGAGAACCTATTGAAATTTTTTCAAAACACTTCCAACAGTTTTAGAGGTCTAATGACGTAACTGGACCACTTTTTGTTGCAATGATGAATAGTTTTCCCACTTGTTGCTCAAACTTCTTTCTTTCTCTTACATTCACTTTTAATCTGAATGAGAGTTGTATAGGCAATACTAGAAATGTGATGATGACATTGGGATATAAATCTTTGGTCACTATTTTCCTATCTTATGTCAGCAAATATGTATTTTTACAGATAAGAAAGAAATCAAATTAATTATGTTTGAAAAATGAACTAAACATGCTACTTTCTGCAAATAATCTTAGTATTGTTGTTTTGGAGATATCACCATCTGACCTTAAATAACTGGAAGCTAATTATTTGCCTAAATAATGATAGAATCATAGAAATAATGATAGAATCATTGGCTTGGGTTGGAAGGGACCTCAATGATCATCAAGCTCCAACCCCCAAACATGTTCTTTCAATAATACAAAGCTGTTATTTGTTCTTATGTACACTATCACTTGGATAAAAATCCAGTCTTGAGAATCCATTCAAATTTTTCTTGTATTTTTTAGCCTAATTTGGTTTTGTATGTTTTTATCAGAAGTTTTACAGCTGCTAAAATCCCAGTGAAGGGAGTAGACTAAGTAGTGAAGAACTTCTGATAGATTCTCATGTGTCATTGGTTAGAAATTCATTAGAAATTGTGGAGGCCAAGATAAAGACTGGGACTTCAAATAAATATGATTAAAATTCAGGTGTTTCTTGAAAACCCAATGTTTCAACAACACTTTCTTAGAGTTTTACTCATCTCTCTGATAAAATGTGATTTACGTCTTAGAAGAATTACTGTGGTAAAGACTGACTAGAGAAGAACATGCAGTGTTTCAATTTTTATGTTAAAGGGAAATGGCTAGTTGCTTTTTTCAACCAGATTATGGTCTGAGGGGCTAAACATTCTTCCAGTTGTCTCAAATGTGTAAACATACTGCAGTTTTTCTTCATGGCATTATGTGTGTCCATTATAATTAATATAGTATACATTGGAGTGAGTACAAATGAAATGCTGTTTACAGACAGGATAGGGACAGGCCAAATGAAATTAGCTCATATTTAATTTAGACACTGCTGAAATCTTTGCTGTCATGAACTTTGATGTATGACTTGTCATAGCCAGAAGTGGGTAGAATATATTACATAGCACATCTTGTTTCTTTCAAATCATATAGTCTGTCTAAGACCGTAAAATCTTAACTTCAGTTTCACTGTTAAAGATACATTTATTTTCTCTCTTCCCAGAATCATAGAATCATAGAATCACTAAGGCCAGAAAAGACTACTAGAGATCCCCAAGTCCAACCCCAGCCCACCCACACCATGCTTACTGACCACGTCCCTCAGTGTCACATCTGGAACATCTCCAGGGACAGTGACTCCACCACCTCCCTGGGCAGCCTATGCCAATGCATGACCAATCTAAACTTCCTGGGAGCCTTTTCTGATTCATAAAGACATCTTTGTCCTTTGTCTCTTTTTCATTTCAAATATTTCTTATGTGCGTCATTTAAAGCTATCTTCTTGGTAGTGCTAAAACCCAGCAAGTTATGAAATATTTGTTCTTTTCTCATCTTACATTTCTTGCTCTGTGTCCTTATAGAGTAACTGATGGGTAAAAGTGATAGTGCTTTTATTTACTGCCTTAATTTCCTGCAGTAAACAAACACTGCATGTTCATTAATCATTCCATGACAAAGGACACTGAGTATTGGACCAAAACTTATCCATGTTTCTAAGCAACCACAGAATTTACCTTCATTTTTCTCTGTCAGCTTCAATTGTAGAGCTTTGATATTATTGTGTTCTCCCTTCTCTTTCCCAAGGAACTAATGGGAGAGAACAAAGAAATCAGTATTGTAACAAAATTCCAGTGATGAAAATCATGATAAAATTCTTGAAGTGATTTCAGTAATAGCGCTCTGTTACAAATTCTTTAGCAGACCTGATAAACAGTTTTCTAATAACATTATTTCCACAGCAGAATGACATTGTAATAGTTCAGCTATTCTGTAAATATGTCAATGATTAATGTTCAACTTCAAAAGCTGGAAAAGTTGTATTATTATGGGGGGGAAAAAAAGAAATATAAGAATTCAAAATATCCATTCAGTTAGTTCAAGAAGCATCTGGACAATACTTTCAGATATATGGTCTGATTTTTGGGTGGTCCTTTGTGGAGCCAAGGTTTGGACTTGATGGTCTTTATAGGTCCCTTGAAACTCAAGATATTCTATGGTAAGCGCGTACTTCTTTTGGTGGAGAGCTAAACTGTTGTGACCTAGCAAATTTCAATCTGAAAGCTGCATTGTAGCAGTCTGTTATACAGACATGTAGACCATTGCTCTTTTAGAAATGAAGAGACTGCCACATATACAGTAAAGCAACAGGCCTGGGTTGTTATGCATGGAGTAATAACAATTCAAATATCAAGTTAATTGCAACATCTGATAGAACTTGTGTTGTATTAGAAAGCATGATTTTGTTTCTCACATTCAGGGTTGGTTTTTTTTTTGCTGTAATTCGAATGCCTTAGCTAATTTTAGCTAAGTCTGTCTTTTAAAGATTTCAGATTGTTTGAACCAGTATTGCAAAATATAAAGTAATATTTGGAAATAGGAATTTGCCAGAATTTATCACTTTAGCAGAGATGGAAATATTTTCTTGATTTTCTGTCTACCTGTGATAAATGACACGATTACTTGAGAAACAAACAGAACTTTTATTTAGATAGAATGGAATACCCTTGTAGTTACATCATTTGGCAGTTTGCAGATGAAATTGAATAGTTTAATAGCCAAGGAAATGCTGAATTTTGATTGGCTTTTTGAAAATTCTTTTTAAATGAAGATGCGCACTTGGCTGATCCACTATTAAAATTTATACATCAAGCTGCAAACTTCTCCTATTCTGCTGTATAATTCACTAGCTGAACTGAAAACCATAACTTCTGAAATTTTGCATGCTTTACTGATCAAGCTGCACATTTTATGACCTGAATTTCATATAAATATGCCTAGCTAATAAAATTGCATACTAAACTAATCAAGATGGAACAATATTTCAAGAACATGCCCAACCTCAGTTATCACATCTTCTTAAATTTCTCTCTTTACTGTTGCATACAAAAAAGCAACAATAATAATGTATTTGTAGCTATCACTATTCAGAATTTTCAGTGCAGTGTTTTAGAGCTTTTAAAATTAAGTGCTCAAACATTAGATGCTTCCTGATATCTTATGATAAAAATGCAGCTTGTGTAATATAAGGAGGAGAATATTTCACAGCATCACAGAATGGCAGGGGTTGGAAGGGACCTCAAGAGATCATTGAGTTCAACACCCCTGCTAAAGCAGGTACCCTACAGCAGGTTACACAGGTAGGCACACTCAAAATCAGATGGATTTTGAGTATCTTCATTGAAGGAGAATCTACAACCTCTCTGGGCAGCCTGTTCCAGTGCTCCATCACCCTTACTGTAAAGTTCTTCCATATTTTTGTATGGAACTTCCTGTGTTCAAGTTTTAGGCCATTGCTCCTTGTCCTATCACTACACAGCACCAAGAAGAGCCTGGCCTCATCCATTTGCCTCCCCCCTCCCTTCAGATGTTTAGAAACATTGATCAGATTCCTTCTCATTCTTCTTTGCCCCAGACTGAACAGACACAGGTTACTCAGGCTTTCCTCACACAGGAGATGCTCCAGGGCCTCTATCATCTTTGTGACCCTCCGTTGGACTCCTTCTAGGAGATCCCTGTCATTTTTGGACTGGGGAGCCCAGAACTTTATTCTTCTCTTAGAAATAAGCCTGTAATTATAGATAATTTATAATTAATTTGGCAGATATCCTTGAAAAATCAGAGATAGCAATTAATGGCAAGGGAAAGCATGCTTCCACACATAAAATGCAGAGATTGTTGTGCACAAGTACTTTATTCATGGGTGAGATTCTGAGATATGTCACTAATGGTTTTGTGTTTTTTCTCTCTTCATTACACAGGTTGAAATGCTGTTCCTTTTTTGACCTACAATGTATTTTGCCCTCTGACTGTTCACCTGCAAATCTTTCATGTTTTCTAAATGTGACAAAGCTGGAAGCATTTTATTTAACTTAGTAGTAAATACACCAAATACAGTTCTGCCAGACTATGCTTTTAAGCATTTGGAATGTTAAAAGCTTACTAAAGTTAAATCTGTCCTCTTACTCTCTAGTGTTTAGCAAGAGCTTAATCTACCTATGATTATTCCATTTTATGTCATTAAAGAAGAAGAAGTTGTTGTAAGAAACATTTTTTTAATCAACAATACTCTGGTTATTCCCTATTATGTAATATTCACCTCACCATTATTAGCTGTAGTGGGAAAATTATGGAAAGAAGTTCATACCACAAATCACTTCAATTTCATTATCTCAGAGGCTCACTTTAGTAGCTTAAACTTTTTAATTAACTTCAATTTAATGCTATTTGCATTGGAAGGATATTTATGTAATTTCTTCATTTTTAATTTGCATGATAGTGTTGATTTTCAGTGTTCTCTGCTGAGTGAGGAATTGTTTATCTGACTGTGATTTGAAGTGCTGTGGGACTAATTCAGACTTAGTTTCTTTTTTCTGTACAAAATTGTCCAAGAAAAAAGCCTCAAAGCATACTATTTAAGCTTCTTTTTCTTCTGTTTCCTTTCCTCTCTGGAGCAAACAGAAAGTATTATATCCTAGAAAAATACCATCAACCATATTGAAAAAAATTATATATAAAGAAAGTGGCACAAATGCTGGCAAACTTTCTAGTGGATATTACTGGTTTCTTGTTGAATGTGTGTTTGCCTTCATATTACTATGAGCAAAGCACAGATTTATATATTAAGTATTTTTATACTTGTTTTCACCATCACTTCTGATTTTGTGGGGTGTGTAAAGACATTCTGATGTGGCTTAGCCTCAAACATTTTCCTGGAATTTATGCTGAGGGAAACCATCTCAGGGAAGATGTGAAAATTTGAAAGAAGTCAAGTCATCATTCAGTTGGAAAGAGCCTTTACACCTTTAATACTTTCATTTAATTCTCACTCTGTTTGCATGTACTAGTTTTTAATAACAAAACCAGTATACAACTTTCAGTGTGAGCAAATTTTAAAGCAATGGCCAAAGACTATCTATGCTTTATTATATTTCACATTTTAATTTCTTTGCCTATAGTTTCATTAATTCTAGTCCTGAATGGACATTTAATTTAATTACAGTAGAAATTTTAGTGCCAGTTAAAGACTTAAACCTTATAATGCAGAGGTGTTCTTGATTTGCAGTCTGATGTCTAATTCTTACAGGATTTTGTTTGTACTATTCACCTCTGTTTTCCATCATTTTAAAAAGTATATTTGCAAAGAAATTGACATTCTTGTTGGAGCAAAATGACAGTGATATAGACTCTAACAAGCCTTCTGATACCTTGAGATTTCTTTGACTACTCAATAAGCTCTATGATTAGTATACAGAAGAGATCTAGTAGTTCAGATGAGAGAAGAATAATAAAAGAGTCATAGAATCATAGAGTCACCAAGGTTGGAAAGGACCTACAGGATCATCCAGTCCAACCATCCACCTATCACCAATAGTTCTCACTAAACCACGTCCCTCAGCACAACGTCCAAATGTTCCTTGAACACCTCCAGGGTTGGTGACTCCACCACCTCCCTGGGCAGCCCATTCCAGTGCCTGACCACTCTTTCAAAGTAGTATTTCCTGACATCCAGCCTGAATCTCCCCAGGCACAGCTTGAAGCCATTCCCTCCAGTCCTATCACCAGTTAAATGAGAAAAGAGGCCAACACCCAGCTCACTACAACCTCCTTTCAGGTAGTTATAGAGAGTGAAAAGGTCTCCCCTGAGCCTCCCCCTCTCTAGACTGAACAATCTCAGCTACCTCAGCTGCTCCTCATAAGGTGTGTACTCCAGACCCCTCACCAGTTTCATTGCCCTTTTCTGGACACCAGAATCCTCAAGTCTAATGTCAATTTTCAATGTTACTATTTCCTCACACACAACAGAAGATTGTAGTTATTCACCTGTTCCATGGGACTACTGTAGGAATGAATTTTACTACTCATAATTCATCATGTATAATTTGTGGCACTGGGTTGCCGTGGTGGGAATGGGTTGAGATTGGACTTGGTGATCTTAGAGGTCTTTTCCAACCTTAGTGATTCTATGAGATAAAAACAGAAGGAAAAAAAGCAAGCTAAATATAAAATTCCTAAAGATTTACAGGAAGATCAGACTACCCAGGGAAGTGTCACCAATGATTAGATTTTTTTTTTTTTTTAATGGGTATTTTAGAGAAAAAAAGTAACAGTAATTACCTGTGATATCTGTATTGACAGGTTGGCAAGACGTGTTTGGGGAATTACAATAATTCAACATCTCGTTTGAAGACAGCAGAAACAGAGACAAGCTTGCAGGTATTCAGTTTCCAACAAATTGTTGGGTTTTTATTAAAAGCTCTTGTAAAGCATTAAGTTACTTGAAGTATTTCTACGCATTCTATTCTGATGCTTTTGATGCAGAACTGCTTACTCAGTTCACAGGCTTTCACTCTACCAGATTTCAGTTCATCTATTCGCAATGGCTCTTAGCTATTAACAGTTTTCAGAACTGTTTCATACTTGACCTGGAGTAGCCTTGTAGTCAAATGACTCAATTTAATACAGTCATATCCACAGCACTGGGAAGAGTAGGAGGAAGATGTTATCAAATCACTGATACATCTGCAGTTATGCCAAGCTGTACTCAGTAATCCTACGAATGAAAAGGTCTTCAATGAATTGTACACCTATGCTTTTCATTTGATAGACCAGAACAAGCAAGTTTAAAAATAAAAATTAAAAAAACTTAGTCATGCATGGTTTTTCCACTATCAAGGATGCATGCACTGATGCTGTTTTCACCCTCAGCAGATGCTGCGCAACCCTCCATGGACTAAACCTGAAGACAAAAAATCACCTGAAAAAAATGAGAAAAAGTTTGAAGATTCTGTTAGCACAAAAGAAAAGAAACTGTAAATGCCACTAATACACATTTACAAACGTTCATCACTTGCTTCCAACTTCACATTCTTTTTAGTCCATAGGCAAGAAGAAACCAGATTTCTAAAGCATGCATTTTTCACTATTTTATGAATGTTTGTTAGCTAGTCTAGAATAGACCAATTAGTACCTTTCAGCAATAATCCAAAATGAATGTTTGAAGAAATGCTTTGTAATACAGTCCAGTTTTTGAACTATTATTATAGCTGACTTAGTAATTATGTACTATAAATTAGTTTCTTTGTTAAAAAAGCCATTCCCAAGTATTTTCTCAGTCTGTTCTATTTAATGTACCTTTATGTCAGATTAGATTTTAGATCAAGAATTAAGGGGCAGTGAATGCAAAAAAAAATATATTAAAAATCTATGTAAACCTAGTCAGAGTACAATGTAAATGTAAAGATGGGACAATAGGGCTCCATGTATACTTGACTCTGAGTAATAGCATTTCACATCTGCTTACTTAATAAAATATCTTTGGTTGCTGTTTTTTCTAACTGCTGTCACTAGTTGTATTTTGAGCCCTGAACTGTTGTTAGAAATGCAGAGTTCAAGGTCAGATGTAGGGAGAGTTGTTTTTAGGATCCAAGAAAAAAGTTTTGCAAATGAAACTGAGGTAAAATTTCTTAGTACCCTATATGGAAATCACTTCCATCCTTCATAGTTGCACTCACCTCAGCAATATAAATATATTGGAAACTCTGAAAGTACATTCTGACTACAGCAGATGACATGTTGGACACTACAGCAGAGAAGAGCATTTTAGTTGGCGTGTGTTCTGTGATTCCTAGGGTTCTTCTGGTTTCTCATGGGTCATGTACCCTATTGCAAGCAGAAAGGAAAAGCAAGAATGTCATCTTGCTGTGCATGTCATCATCAGCAGAACACATGTACGTCGTGATTGAGAGGGAAACATTTTGAGAACTAGTGTCTTAGGAGCAATTCACTGCCTAATAGAAAGCTTTAGTGCTTTCCTTTTGCATATGAAGTGTTTTAAGAAACTGTAACTCCTAAGCTCCCTGTCTACACAGAGCAGTACATTGCAACAGTTCCTAGATTGAAAATAATATACTTACATTAGTTTGCTTTTCCTTCTTCTGAATCAGAAACACATTTCACTCTGATGTTTTATATGTGCTTCCCTACTCTGAAGTGGATGTTGCAGAATGGTAGGTTTTCCTGCCAGGAGAAATCTCAAGAATTGTGCAAAGAAACTCACAAGCTGACTAAATGATGGCAGAGTACTTCTCAGCAAAGTCAAACTAATGTCAACAAAAAGATTATCCATGTCAAACATCAAAAGAAGTGAAATCCTGGATACAATATATTCAGAACAGAGATATGGGTTTTCACAGCTGATCTTGACCAGCATCATCAAATTGTATTCATCAAATTCAGCAAGCAAAAGTCTTGTGATCCTGTCACAGCAACAGTCTGCACCTAATTCCAAATATGTCAAAAACAGAACTCTTTATGCATGTGAAATTGAAATATCCAAGGTATGGACTGTGAAGAGGCCATTAAAGCTGTTTCAAGCTTCTATTTGGAAAGAATATATATTTTCAAGAGCACATCCCAGAGAAATGAGGTAAGCTGTCTTACTTGGCATTCAGTTCACATTTCTGAGGAATTCAGCAGTTGTAGTTATTATAGCTGCACCTTGCTGCTGTGTCAAGAGATGTCTTGGGGTTGGTGCCAACAACATGAAAAATAAAGTGCCTTAAAAGTCAGCAACAGTCAAGTTTTTTATATTCACATTCTATATGTTCCTTTTTCTAAGTGATCGTGAAGATCAAGTGAGACAGCCAAATGGAGCAGTGTTGGTGGGGAGAATTAACCCTCATGTTTTGCTTAAAGCTTTGGAAATAAGTTATGTGCACCTCAAGGATTACTTGGCCACCTTTGTATAGGACATTGGTTGCTGCTCATTTGCAGTGTGACTAAGTTTGATGACTTATAGATGATGCCAAGGGGGATCCTGACTTGTCTTTGTACCAATTGCTTTTAGAACAATCCACATAATGATTCAGAATAAGAAAAATAATGATGGATAAATTCTTCTACCTGTATGTGGCATGAATGTATTTCATGTAATTTGTTGTTATGGCTTAAAAAACACCACTATTCTGAGGTGTATGTTTCCCCTCAGTGTATCAGTGACCATTCCTTCATTCCAGCCATCATTGTGGGTAGATGTACATCCCAATGCTGGGATGTAAATAAACAGATCTTGGCATTTCTTCTGATTTTGGCTATTAGGCGTTACAAAGAACTTGGTCATAAAGGAGCTTCAGCTTATAAAATTTTAGTCACAGTTGTGCTTTGATGTATTTAGAATACTTAAAAACTCTTTCTATGATCAGCTTTACAGAGATCTGTGGGCCTCCCCCACACGAGGATCCATCACTCTACAAAGCAGAACGTCTTAAGAAAGTGTTTTTTGCAATGCCATACAGTTGCCTGGCAACTAGGTCATGGACCATATCCTTCTCTTTAAAAGTAACGATTATTTATTAGGCTTAGCCATTAGATATTCCAAAATATAATGGATAAAAGCAAATTCCAGTTGAAGAAATCACCATTTAAAACTTCTGCTTGAATTTTCCTTTTGCATAATAGGGTTCATCTCTGAATTAGTCTATCTTTCTATCAATCTGTATGCATTTGTAAACATAAAAATGTGTTAGATATTTATATTCATGAATTTATATATATATATATTATACATATATATGATATATATGATATGTAGAGTCATGGAATCATCAGGGTTGGAAAAGACCTCCAAGATCATCCATTTCAATCATCAACCTACCACCACTGTTTCCCCACTAAACCATATATATCATGTATGTATATATGAGTGAGAGCATATATAAATAAAAACTTCTGGAAAGCAATTTTACCCCTATAAGGTGTTACTTACCATTATAAAATTTGTAACTAAGAAGTGCTCAATTTACCAAAAAGGCAAAGATCATGGTAATGTCTATATAAAAAAATGAAACAGTAAATTTTTCTAATTTTCTTGTGAAAAAAAAAGAAAAAAAATCTACTTTAAAAGTGTTTAAGCCTATTTGTGTTTAAAAAGGGTCATATTCTGTAGTTAAATGTGGTGTCTGGGATGAATTAAATGAAAGTATACTCTTCATTTGTAATAACTGTCAGAAATGCATGAGGTCTGCTCTGAAAGTAATGCCTCCTATTTTATTAAGATGACAGAGGTAGATGTTGGTGATATGGCAGTAGAGGTTGAACCTTCCCACCAGTGTTTTGTTCCATTTTGTTGCCATGTGACAGATGGCAGAAGAGGGGCAGTCTGACAAATGGTATCTGACGTGGAAGTGCATATGAAGCAAAGGGGTGTCATTCAGTTCCTCTATGCAGAAAAAATGGCACTCATTGATATTCATTGATGTTTGCTGAGCATTTATGGAGACCAAACAGTGGATGTAAGCACAGTGAAGTGGTGAGTGGTATATTTCAGCAGTGGCAGCAGTGGATCACTGCCACTGGTGTAGCCTTTTATGAGGGCAGTGTGCAACTCTTGTTCTTGCCCTGCTGTGCACAACGCTGAATCAATGAGCATTTAACTAAAACTACAGAACAATAATGGTAGCAAATGCATGGAAACCTGGATATTCAGCATGTGTATGTCTGCCTTTGTAACTGTAACTGCAATGGAACATTTTGATGAACAAGCAAATAATATTTTGGCATATCAAGAAATATTTGGTTAATCGTCTGTCTTTGTCAAATATTGACCTACAAATGTCACGTCCAGATGGATTTCATTTCATATGCATCAGATAATGGCCTCTCACTTTCTTCCTTCTGTCTCTTCATCTTTTCTGCTGTCAACCTGTCAGCTGGGGTGTCAGCTTCAAGCATGATGTTCATATTAAATGCTGCTGCAGTAGGTGCTGATACGATCCAGCATCGTGTCCCGTTGACAAAAGACATGTTCTGCACATGCATTGAGTCACATCCCTCTGGTCACTGACCATGGACAGCTGATTTAGCACAGAGCTTGTTGGATGAGCATCTGGCATCCTGGCTGAGGGACTGTGTCTGAGAGTATTAGTGTTGAGCCCCAGCGCCAGCTCAGGCACCAGGGCAAGCATACTTCAGGGCAGATACCATGATGGAACTGTGTAAGTAAGGATGATGTTCAACAGAATTGGATATGGCAGGCAGTAGTTCATATGTTGCTCTTTTCTGTGGATGCCTTTAAAATGACATCAAGCATAACTGGCTGTTTCAGAATTGTAAACCTAGGCAAAGTTAACAAAATCATGGTTGACATGATCTTTAGTGCCTATTACATATGGAAAATTTATTTACATCTATCCTGTGACATGGGAAAATGTGCTGTTTAAAAGAGTACTATTGTCTTTCTCTTAGTTTGAGTCATAATTCAACACAGCCTCACTTGATTTTTCATATACCATATATCCTCCGTGCCTTCAGAAGCAGCGTGTATGCAACATGATGACATGTAGCCAAGCTATGCTGCTCATTCATGCTGTATTAGAGCTGTGGGGTTTCCATTCTCTCTGGCAATATCTAATTTAGGTTCGTTAATTTGAAACTAAACAAAGATGAAATTCTCAGTTTGGTTTTAGTTCTCTATTAACTATAATTTTCAAAAGAGAATTTGTTGAGGAATGATGATTAATAGAAGTAATCTCCCAAAATAAAGCCTGAATTGGCTTTTGGACATCTTAATTCCATTATATAACTAAGGAACAAGACCAGTGTTTAAGTAGTTTTAATTTAAAATGCTGCTTAATCAATAAACTGAGGTAAGCTAAATAATGGCTTTATAGCTTTGATAGCATTTGTGACTGCTAATAATAACACATCTATTACTTTTGCAAAGTTAGCAGACTAAAATATATATATATATATGCACAAGCAGCTGATAAACCAATCCATTTCTTAGGTTATTCACAAGTAGAACGTAGCCATCACATATATTACTGGCAGTCAAATGAAATCCAATGCTTAGAGAAATCTTCTGGTGTCATTTCTCTGCAGATGTGGCAGGCAAAATCTCACTGCGAGTAGTGAAATTCTATTGCTTTTACCTTTCCCAGCACAGATGAGATGGCTGCCATCTGTAAGAAATTCCCACACGTCCTAATATTCAACTAAATTAAGAGGTGCCAGCTGAGTCTTGTTCTCAGTGCGTAATAACCTTAATATCAAAGAAGTGTCTTTGAAGGGGTAAAAGGTGTTGTATCAGAAATGAATTCTTTATTGCTAGTTCTTGGAGCATGGATGACAACCCAATGTGATTATGTCTTTTGAAATGAGGCTGATTATTTATTTTGCATATTGCTCTGCATTAGCATCCTCTAGTACTCACTCTATAGGTGCTTCCTTACACCTTTCTGCCCTTCTCCTCTCCTGATGAACTTGGGCTGTCAGAAAGGATGATGATGCTGGTTCATATGTTGTACATGAACTCTCACTTCTCATTGTTTCTGAATCAGGACAGGATGCATTTGTTGGAAATACTGCAGCCATTGCTCTTTAAAACTGCTCAGTGGTTAATACAGCTGTCTTCTTCCTTTCCTCATTTCTTTCTCCATCTTTCAGGCACCATTTCAACTGGAAAAAGAATGTGCTTAAAAAAAGAAATGATCATCCTTAGGAAAAAACACTGTTCTTAATATTTTCTTTCAAGTTTACAAATCAATTCATCCAATTGGGATATAGCAGAAAAAGCATGAGAGCTTCAACTTTTATTGAAGTTAGGAAAGTCTTAGAGCTCTCAGGGGAAACCTGAGATAGCAGAGTAGAAATTAGGCTGCACAGTCAATGAACAGCCATTACTGCTTGTTGATGGTTACCTGGCCAAAAGGAAAGTCTTGGAAAAATTTCTTCTAAGAAAGTGTGCTCACGCATTGGAATATGCCACCCAGGGAGGTGGTGAAGTCACCATCCCTGGAGGTGTTCAGTAACCATGGAGATGTGACACTGGGGGAATGTGGTTAGTGGGCATAGTGGGGATGGGTTGAGGTTGGGATTGGTCATCTTAGTGATCTGTTCAGACCTTAATAATTCTAGAATTCTATATGGAACATGTGGGCACAATGGAGAGGGATCAACACTAGTTGGATTAGTAGTCTG